CATCAGAAACTGAAAGGATTTTACTTAACAAAGAGGAAACTTAGCATGCTGTTTATTCTGATAAAGTGGTTGTCCCTTTCCTAGCCAGTGATGTGGATGTTCTTTGCTTTGCCATAAGTAACAAACAAAGAATGAAAAGGAAATGTTTTCTAAAGATATCTTCTTCACAAGCTAGATCACTGAGCATGAATGACTTCCACCCTGCTGTGTCTTGGTGGTTTGGAGTATGAGGTGCATGCCTCAGGGCTGGGCTTCTGACTTTGCTGTGCAAGTTGCCAGGGGAAAGGGAGCAAGTGAACATACATCCACAGATTTACCCTCAAAAGACTGTAGGAGTCCAATCACCTGAAAATCAAGAATGTTTATTCCCATGTTTCCTGGTTTTCACACAAGGGACGCTGTGTGTCTTATTTTCTCATCACTGAGCACTCACATGTTGGTTTGTTTCTCCTAATTATGAGATGGGGTACGCATCACTGTCACAGAAAAACCCTTTGCACCTGTTTGAGCCTTTTGACCAGACTGCAAGTCGACTTGACCAGACTGTGATAGTTGGCCATTACATAAAAAATGAATGTTTCCCATAGCTCTGCTATGATAAGGGATGGTTGAGTTTTTGTTTTATTTTGGACTGGATTTTTATTGGTTTTGTTGTTGGGTGGGGTTTTTAAGGTTTCTTGGTTTTGTTTTTTTTTTTCTCTTTTTATTCTTCATTTTTTTTCCCCTGCAGTTTGTGTGTGTTTGTGCTTTTTTTGTTGTTCTTGTTTGTTTAAAATGAATGGTTAGAGAGAGACTTTCCATGGAAAGGACTAGATTCTACAAACTGGTGAATTATGGAGCACTTGACAAAGTCCTGCTGACATGCATGGAATAAAATCTGTTCTGTACCTGTTAAGTTGCCTTTGTTTTACAGGGCAGAGAGGATTTTTTTATTGGGAATGGTGGAAATGGGTCGAATTTCACTGTTTCAGTTTTTTCTTTTTACCTCTGTGTGTGTGTGTGTGTGTGTGTGTGTGTGTGTGTTAGACCTTATCTGAAGAATGGCAATCTCTGCATAGCTTTGCCCTGGGCGTGGAAGTCCCGGGACCACTGCCGCTCAAAAGAGAGATCACGTTTTTCTCGAATGGGATTGTAAAGTCCAGGTTGCATCCTATTGCTTGGTAGTTATATATTAATAAATTGTAGGTCCAAAGGGCTTGTGTTACCTTGTCTTGAAGTGAAACTTCTTTTCATTTCTCTTGTGTTTCTTCTGTGCTGAACTACAGAAACACTGATTATATTAGTCTGTGGTAGCTGCAACCATAACAGGTCAGTTTCCTTGTTTTTCCTTTTCCATCTTGAGAAACCTGGTGCTTTTACTGAGAACTATGCTGGTAGGTGATTTGTGTTCTGCCTAGCTATTTCATGACTATATGCATTTTTTTCTAATTTACAGTTGAGATTAAATAGTTCAAGCCTCAGTAAAAGCCACTGTATGTTTGTGTATTAAAATCAGCTGCTTGTTTTCACTGTCTCTGTCTCAAGGACTGGATGGAAGCATTCAAGTAACCATGAGTTAAACCTGGTCATAAATCTGAAGTGTTCCCACTTGTAACTTCTCCTGCAGTCTAGGAGCAGGTACAGGGTCTTAAGAGGTATCTCAGTAGTGAGCACAGTGAAAGATGTTTGTGGAGAGAAGATGGCTGTTGAACTAAATTTAGGTTGAATTTATCTCACACTGAAGAATGGTATGCAACTTTTTTGTAGTATGTTGTGGTTATAGCATGGAAAGTACTCTTTCTTCCCATGCTTAAAACAGGCTTTTAAATCACTCACTTTCTTTGTGCATTATTTTAGTGGGGTAAAAATAAGGCTTTTATTACGAAGTGCATTTGTATTGTCCTCTATAACCATTGTTGCTCTGACAGAGAAAGATGAATTCACATTCAATAGTATTAGCAGGCTTCTAGGCAGCTTCTGAGTGCAGTTGCTGGAGCTTGTCAGAAAAAGCAGCTGCTCATGTTAGATCTGAGGTAGAGCTAGATTTGTGGATTTCGGTCTGTGATTCATGGAGCTACATTCTGCTACAGAGATGTTGCAGAAAGTTGGTTAGAAAATGCAAATCTGTGCAACATATCACTCCACAAATGTGAACTGCAGAGGGATCTGCTTCCACTGAAATAGTTTGAGATCTGTCATTTGGAAAATGTTGAAAACCAGGAATTTCAAGCAGTCACAATGAGAATATGTAAGTCACTATTGTGGAAAAGTTCATATGAGGTCACCTGAAATGTTGCTAGGTTAGAGAGACTGCAGTGGGAATGTTTTCCCTTTTCCTTTCTCTGATCTCCCTGAAGGAAACAGACCTGCCCTGTCCTTTCTGTGCAAAAGAAAAGGAGGATTGTAGTATCTAAAAGGCCCTGTCTGCATAATGCCAAAAAGAATATGCGTTGTTAGATGTTATATGGAGTTAAAGTGAACATCGCTGGTCAATGTATGGCTGATGCTTTTGTTGGTGTGATGCCTGATTTACTGACACACTGTGCACGCTGCTCCCCTCTCACTCACAGCCTCAAGCGGTTTTATACAAGGTCTGTAACTGCAGAATTGTCTGAGAAGTACTTAAAAGTTTTTAAAAATATATTAAAAAGATAAAACTCACACTCTTATTAAGGTGTCTGACCTTATTTGTCTGTTCCTGTAGAAAACCTCAGGCAAGTTTATGTTATCACCAGGGAACAGATGCCTTGTGTAGCATAATCTCAATTTACTTCCAGCTCCTTCACTATCTTCAAAACTCAGTCCTTTTTCACTTCTTCCCTGAAGTTTCAAGTGTCTACAGCTTCAGCTAATTTCAGTTTCATGATTATTTTATTACCATTGCTTTATTTCTTCTACCTTTTTTCACTGTGAGATCTAGAATTTATGAAGTAAATCATAATTGCAACTAGTTCTGCCAGGCTCAGAACACATGCCTGCTTCTTTTCTTTCTACCCTCTTTAGTACTTTGTCAGATGCAATGTGTTGGAATTAGCTCCCACATTATAGAACAAGCATGATTATAAGGCTGTCTTGCCATGAATCTGGATGCATGCAAAACTCCCATGTCTCTCACCGCCTGCTTACAAATAACAACTGTAGCTAAATGTAAAGGGATCTGAGGAGAAGATGAATCCAAATTTCTTTATTCTTCTTCAATAGACAAATTAATTAAGAGTTTGGTTCATGGAGAGTTAATGCTCTGAACTTATCATCACCTCAATGGGGAGGAGCATAGGAGCCGCAAGTTAGTGACTGATGACTTCATGCCTCACTCAGTGTATATAGGATAAAAACTGAATGTTCAAGGAAATTGATGAAAAAGAAATTTCTCTATGTTAGTAAATAAGGCAGTACCTCTCCCTGCATGTCTGTAGAGAATGCTATTTGTTACTGCACACAGGGAAGGAAAGGCAGTATCCTCATAACTGCTGATTTAACACTGCCTTGCTGAGGTCTCACTGAAATGAGCATTTTCAAGGCAGTATAAAGAACTTTTGCAAGTTGAGACATGTCACAGAGATTATTGGTCAAATGCAAATACTGATTACAAAGTATGGAGGGTTTGGACTGCCTATGAATACTTTTTTTTTTTGGTTGGTTGGTTGGTTTGGTTTGGATATTTTTGTTAATGTGATAAAGCTATTACTTTTTTCTTCTGCCAGGAGCTTACAGTGATAATCCAAATCTGTTTAGCCTTTTTATCTGTGAGAATAGAGGTTATCTCTTATTAAAGAAGAGTTTGATTTGGTATTTCAGTTCAGGTTTGGTTTTTGTTTTTGGGGTTTTGTTGGGTTTTTTTTTGTTTGCTTGGTTTTTTTTTTTTTTTCCCTAAACATAGTTTTGTCCTTGGCTGAATTGACCACTAAGCTTTTCCTGCTTTTAAGGGTTAGAGTGCTTTTTCTGTACTCTTCCTTTCTGGACCTGAGTTCATGTTGTTTGCAGGGTGAAAATAGTGTTAAGAATCATAATCTCTTCCTGCACCCTAAAAACAGGCAGATTAAGAAAATGCAGGCAGTAGGCCTCCACAATGATTTCTGAGTAAATGTTTTACTGCTTTTTCCATCTGTTACGCTAAAATCTGACTTAAACTAAGCGTAAATCTAGTCAGAAGAGGTCACTGGAGTATTAATCATCAGAGTTAATCCTCTTAGACATGTGTTTGGTATGAGGCCAGCTATTCAGAAGTTTAACAGCACACATATGTTGCTTATCTGTCTGGCAGCTTGCCAAAGAAATAAACTTCAAGTTTGTGGTGGGTTTATATCTCTGTGAAGTACGCTGCTTGTTTGGTGCAAGCTGATGCAGCTTTTCTGTATATCACACATGGTGCATAGCCTGCTACTGAAGAATGAGTTCCTTTCAGGGTGCTTTTCAAAAAGCTGTAGTGTTGGTGTTACATGGTAAGAAGTGATATCATTCACAGTTGACCTTTTCATGGTGCTTCCCTATGAAGTACCATGAGCCACATTTAATACTACTAACTTAGAGCAGAGGAAGAGACAATGTTTCAAGTAGAGTAATACTGTGGAACCCAAATATAGCTGAATGAAACCTCACCCTGCTTCCACTGCTGCCATTCTGACTTGGAGGAAACATTCATGTACGTAAATACAACTCTTTCTTGAGTCAGGTCTGGACTGGACCCAGCATTTCTGTTTCTCCCTTCATAGGAGTATGCTTCATACTCAACAGAAAAATGATTATATCATATCCTAATTATGGAACTGATTCATCCCCTGGGGCATGGAAAGCAAACAGTAGGAGTGCATCATTAAAAAATTAGCGTATTTTTAGAGAGGAGGAAAAATAAAAGTGCAACTCCACTGAAAAGGTTAATGATGAAGAAAAAAATTACTTGCATTAAAGGAACTTTTTAAAACAGTCTGAGATTATGGCCAAAAGAACATATATTTCTTAGTAACATGTTTAGATTTTCTTGGAAGAAATTATTGATTTTCTTCTTACCTTTCTTTCTCAAGGAAAAGAATGAAAGCTCGGGCTCCCCCTCCACCAAATCAACCTTCTGCAGCAAGTAGAATTCACAGTGAGCCCAAGACACCTGCAGAGACAGCTGTAATTTCTGATCAGAACCTTGTGAGCATGAAGGAGAACATGATAAACAGACTGGTGGACTTCACAGTCGTTTTACCCAGTGGGGTGGAGCAGAAGTGCACAATGCAAGGAAGGTAAGGCTTTGATTAGCTCCCACTTTTTGAAGCCTTTTGTTCTCCATGAGATGCTTGGTGATGCTGTCTTTCTGAGTTTATGGGGCTTCTCTGTCATGCTTTTTTCTGCATTTTTAAGCAGCTGTTGCAGCAGAGTCCTGATAGCCAAGTATAAAAGGACCCTCTCTTCTGGGGCAGAAAGGATTTAGCAGCTATTGTGTCACTGTTTTCCCCATGGATTACTACACGTATGGATCTATCCCTTTCATGTAGTGTCACTGTGCTTAGGTTGTATCACATCTCATAATCCAGAGTGGGCTCGCTGCGGTGGAAGTAGGTGCTGCTGGCAAACAGTCCTGCCAGTATGAGTGCCTGGAGGCATGCCAGGAAGCAGGCTTGGAAGATGGATGATTCATTGCATTCAGAGATCCCGCCTTCACAATTACAGTGCAGTTGTGTAGACAGCAAAGCATCTGCTCATATTTAGGAAGCTTTTTATATATAAAAGTGTATTTTTTTTCCCATGGAAAGAGACAGGGATTTTCTGTGTTACTCACTGGGTACAAGCAAGAGCAAATTGTATTGGAAAGGTAATTTTGAGATAATTCTCTTCACTGTGGGAGCTCTTCTTTTTCCTCATTCTTTCTGTGTAAACTGTTTTGAAAGAGGGAGACATTGCTTTAGGAAATAATATGGAGAAGTTTCAAAAATATAAACAATACTATGATGAAACCATAGCAAGCAATGTTGTGGTCAGGAGTAGTCAAGAAACTGTAGGAAGTGTAACCCCACATTCAAAAGGTATGTGGGTGTAGGCACACAGCTTGTGGTAACTGAGAATGGGACTGTGGGAGCCTCATCCCCAATGGGTACAGCTGTGCAGGACAGGTGAGCAGCATTGAAGGCAATGGGATATGGAGTGCCCAGCTGCACTGACCTATCACCAAAGGGTGCAGAGGGCACACAGGTGTAAGGACTATAAGATGAAGGGTATAAAAGGTTGGACTGAAGAGCAATAAAGAGTAGATGCCTGAAGCTTTCTGAAGTGATGTTTTTCTGTATGGGCTGATGCTTTCTGATGTGTAGTGATACTCTGTGTGTTGTGGCTGTCTCAGCTGTGGCGTGTAAGTGCCTGTTGATAAATCAGATTCTGTGTACAATTAATGTTTTCGGTAGTTAGTCTGCATTCTAGCATAACTACTTTCTGGTTTCATATTGTCTGTGTTGACTGTATTGTCTGTGTTGACTGTTTCCCTCATAGTGCATTTTGATGGTTGAGGAGGATGTGTGAATTGCTGTTTGGTGTCTGGGACTTCTTTCTTCCTCTTACTTTTCTCGTAGAAACTAGCATTCACTTACCCTCTCTTGGGAGATGAGTGCTATTTGTGGGTGTCCACCCCAAAGCCAGAGTGATGTTAAAGGTTTGAAAGGAAAGCAGTACTTACCAGAGCTCTCAGATAAGATTTGTAGTGATGGAGTTTTTATAGGGAGATTTGGACTTAATCAGAGAAAGAAGAGAGCAGGCCTGGTAAGTGGAACAGAACATGAAACTCACTGGCCATTGGAGCTCAAAGGAAGGTGATGTTTCATTAGCAAATGCGAACCACCTTGGAGCTGACAAGAGGTTAATATTCATGTAGCGTTTTGTCTTCAGACATAGATAATTGCCACAAGGTTAGAAACTCTTTTTTTTCCCTTCAAAGCAAGCAGTCCAAGAGCACTGTAAGGGTGGCCTTGTAATATGACTTTTTGAAGAACATACAGGAGCAAAGAACAAGTAGAACGTACAATAAATATTCTGTGCCTCACACAGGTGTTTATCATTATGTATCACATACACTGAGACTGAGTGTTTTGTTTATTAGTCTTTAGTCTGTGGACAAAAACCTGAAAGAAATGGCAAATATGGAACTTCACGCATTTCGGTGAGGTTATTTATATCATCTGCATTAAACATTCTAAGCAACCAAAACGTTCTTTTTGTTGTCTGTGAAGGTGCTCATTTCTCTCCAGGGTCTACATGACAGGTATAGACCTCTGATTTAGCTGGCAATTAAATTCCTGCTTGTGTTAATGTGCTGATCTGCACATCACTGGTGCTAACCTAGGCAGTGCCTGTTCCTTCCTCAGTGCTACCTTGAAGAGTTGGAGTGGAAAAGTTAGTGACACTGATAGTCAGCTGTGGGAAGTGGAAGATGATAGAAATCGAGAAAGGGGAATTAATCATCTTAATAAGCTATGAAATGGGAAAAGAATATTCTGTAGTAAACCCTATATTACAGTGGCATCAGTGTATGAACAGCCCTCATATGTGCTGCTGTTCTTTCTAATTAGTGCAAGATGTATTTTTCTGTATGTTAGCCCTGGTTTTGCTTTTAGGTATGTGGAATAGCGAAAAACAATCATGTCAAGATTGTCTGAAACTTTTAGGGGGTGAGCTGTCCTAAATCTCCAGGTTTGGTAGAAAGCCCAGGTTTTTTCAACTTCTTGTATTGTTTCGATATTGGAATCTAAACAGCTATGAAATACAGTGATACTCAGGGGTAAACATTAAATGATCAAGTTACTGAATTTTAAGAAATGGTTATTTTGCCTTTTTTTGGGGTTTTTTTTTTTTCAGTTTGTGGCAAGTGTAAGAACCAGTACAGGTAATGAATTATTTTCCCTGCTCACTCTTTTTATCTGTGATGATATCATGGAAGGACATTTCAGAAAAATATGCTGGTTTTTATACTGCTATAAATCTTCATTGTTTTTGTTGCCATCATTAAAACTGTATTCTGCAAAATCTCCTTTTGGCTACCCTGGGGAAATAGCTTTTCTGTTTCAAAAAAATTTGCAAATCTTTGCCCTGGGCATATTCATAATGAAAAATGATTCTGTAATGTCAGGGAAGCAGTTCACTGAACAATTAAGTACACTAGATTATATATGAAAATATAAATACTGTAGATAATTAGTATCACTTAAGATTATTATAAGTGAACTAAAAGTAAAAATTATGTCTTTGACTTTGTTCATTGTATGTAGGCAAAGCAATATGTTGTAATTTAACTTTGTTCTCTATGTAAAAAGTTCCTGCAAATACCAGCAAGAGGGCAGAAAGTTCTCATTAAGTTTTGTTGAAGACACTTTAAGGAAAAAAGTTTATACTACTTAAAGATATTTTATTCGAATCTGGAACCTTGAAATTGTTTTATTTATAAAAGTTAACTCAATCTGACAGTCCCTCTAATAGTTTGTTTCCATCTTGTAGCTCACAATTTGTTTGAGAATTTGAAAATATGTAGTGCAGATTTTAGTACAAAGCTGAGTCATTAGGGAGTGTGTGCAGTAATAGAATAGTATAAACACTTTTCTGTTTGAAAGAATTGATCCCTGGGAGCTCTGCTGTAAACATGTAGAAGTATTCATGAAAAGCTGTTAGCCTATTTCCCCTTGAAAGGAGGGAAACGCTATTCTGTGTTTGTACTTGTGTATGAGCACCAACTGATGTGCTGAAAGGATAGGTAAAGTCTTGGCTGCTCTACACATTTTATGCATGTAGATCTGTAGCACATCCACAGAAATGGTTAACAGTCTGAGAGAGGTGATGGGTAGATATTTAGATGGAAAACAAATGGAAAAGCTTCCAACTTATCAGTTTGCTGTTCGTGATTCTCAGAAATAATACTTTCAATGGGTAACCTGTAAATAAAGGGCTTATGCATCTGTGTCTGTTCACACTCGGTGGCACTGATGAGGACTTCGTGATTAACACAGATACAGACATTAAATGCCAGTACTTTCGAACTCAGTAGGATTTGAAATGCACTGCAGAAAAATGGGGATGTTTGAAGCTAAGTGAGGTTTGGTTTGGAGTTGTCAATACATGGATGACCAATATGCAGAAAAGTGAACTGGACATTTGTTGCTTCTGCTGTTATCTTACATGTTACACAAATTCTCTCATGCATATGATGCACAGAGAGCAGGACACTTGAAGTAATAATAAACTAGCCAAAGCTGTAGTCCGATTGTGCAAATATTGAAGGACAGAGTTCAGTACAGAGTAATGCCAGAATATTCAGAAAGAATATTCTCAGTAATAGACTCTTTATTGTGGTCTTATAGCTTAACATACAGAACAGTGTCTCAGGAAAGATTGGAGGTGTGAAAATCAGCCCAGGTTGGTAAAACATTCAATAGGTGTTGTCAGAAGAAGATAAACAGGGCAAAGGGCAAAAGGATTAAAAAATAGTTTAACTAAATACTGAGTAAGAGTCAGGTCTATAGTACAGTAGTTCAGTGTAGGCTAAGGGGAAAAAAAAAAAGTTGTAATAGAATTTATGTTGGAAGGGATGGCTGGAACACAGTGTCTCTAGCAAGTTTGAATACCTTCAGGGAGGAGGTTTCTGGATTTTTCTGCACCTCTTCTTTAGGGCTGGAACCATCTTTATGGAGATGATACATTTACTTGTACCTAAATGGAATTTCCTATTCAGCACTTATCTCTTGCCGCTTGTCCTCTTGCTGTTTACTGTCAAGAAGAGTCTGTCTCTGTAACCCTAGAGTTCATACTTACAGACAGTAGCAAGGTCTCTCTTCACCTTTCTTGTTCTAAGGCTCCAAAAGCACAGTCCTCTGTCTCGTGTGTCATCTTCATGTTCCTTCTGTGGACTTCTGCATTTGTGGAAAATAAGAGCCAAATGTACAGGAGCAAGCTAAGAAAATAAATAGAAAACATAAGTGTCTTATCACATTTCCTGAACTTTTTTGGATACAGCTCGCTACTTAGTGTGTACATTTTTGTGTAGAACAAGTTGTAATCTTTTCATGAAGTGCCTGCTGTACTTCAGAGCATGCAAAAATAAAGACTAATGCTATTTTCCAGTTTAAATGCAAATAGTGAAAGAATTAGAGACTTTGGGTTGTCCACTCCCTTTACAGTATTATGTTTCTTTTCCAGTCAATTGCTAATGTAGATTCTTAATGCATATTTGACATTGACCTAAATAAAGAAGATTCTTTCCTTCAGTTTAAGATTATTTTAATTTATTTTTTTTTTAAATCATGGAATCAGAGTAGTTTGGGTTGGAAAGGAACGTAAAGACCATCTAGTTTACTCCCCCTGCCATGCACCAGGGACTTGCTCGAAGCCCCATCCAACCTGGTCTTTCATGCTTCCATGGATGGGGCTTCTACAGCTTCTCTGGATCAGTTCCTGTGCTTCACCACTCTCACAGTGAAGAATTTCTTCCTAATATCTAATCTAAGCCTACTCTCAGTTTGAAACTATTACCACTTGTTCTATCACCACATGCTCTTGTGACAAGTTCCTCTCCAGCTTTCTTCTAGGCCCATTTAGGTACTGGAAGGCATTTGTAGCATGAAAGGAGAAGACTAAAAAAAAGTTTGTTTAATAGAATACAACTTTACCCTGCACATTTATTTTTAGATGTACAAGGCTGTATTTTAAAATCGATTTCTCCGTGTGATCCAAGGAGGTTAAGCCAAACCATACCCAAAACATCTCAGTTGTTTTAGACTTCCTAAAAACCATAGGCCTCTGCTGCATTTTACTGCAGAACAGCAGGAAACGAGCAGTTTGGTCAAACTGGGTCAGAACTTCAGCATGATAAGTATTGCTGACAAAGTAGTTATTCTTTACTGTCCAGAATTGGCATTAAATGTCAAACAGCTTAGTAATAAAATATCAAAACAGAGACAAAGTACTCTCCTTTGCTAAGAATATTCATATGGATCTTCTTGTATGAGTCCAAAATTGTGTTCTCTCTCCAGTTTTGTTTCTGTGCTCTAGTATTTGCTTGTCAGACACCTTTGGTGTCTATTAGGTAGTGTTTGGTCACTCAACCAAAACTTTCAGCAACATAGTACTAAAATGAAGTAGCAAGGTGTTTCTTAGCTGAGTAGTTAGAAAGGCAGGACATATTTAACTTCATTTCGCCTTTAGATTTAAGACCTGCCTGAATTTCAAAACAAAGTATATTCTCTGCCAGATATCCAAGCAGGTTAATAGAAAGTGGGAATCTGTGTGTAACAAGATGGAAGCAAAAGAAGGATTGACTCTTTGCATCTTCCAAGAGCCATATTCAGCCCAAGGTTAGAAAGAAAAGTTCATCTAGATTAGTCAATTACTCTTTTCTTGCTGTGTTTAGTGACTCTCTTCTGTGTATAGAATATGCATGGAGTTACTTGAAATAAAACTCCCATTTAAAATCAAGCTGAACTGTATTATGGTTTGGAAAGAAATTTTTTCAAGTTGGTGCCATGGAAATCTGATATAAGAATATCTTCATTGCAAGGGTTCCCAGCTCTCTTACTTCGATTGAAACACAAGGGTTTTGAACTTTGTGGAATTCCTCTCCTTTCCACTCCCCACGTCTTTCTTTCTTTTCTTTACACTTCAGAAGTTTTGTGAAAAAAATTTATTGAATTTGCATTTTTTTAAAGAGCATATGATTTGCTTTGAAACTTTTTTAAAAGCTTCAGCTGTGCTTTCAAATGGTACAGATGAAGGCTGGGGGATGCTTTTCATGGAACAATTATGTATTCTGAGCAGCATGGCACAGGTTGGGATGTTGCAGATTTCCTTAAATGTTATGTTTAATGCATGTCTGTTCCTAATCAGCAATAAGGTGAAACCTCAGATTTGGCTGGATTTTTGTGATTTCCGTTGTCCAGACAAATTTGTTCAAGTTGCTTGATTGTCTGTAACTTATTTTCTCTGATGCTTGGTGTGGATTCTGATTTTGTTATAGTTGTGGTACTGAATGTACCAACTGAAGTTGCTGCTGAATATATTTTAGAATTTCAGTGGTATATGTGTGGAATTATAAATTGTTATTTTGATGAACTATCTTCTCTTTAAAAATACTTTTTCAAGAGGCAAGAAAACTGTCCAAATTTGAATGAATTATCACAGTATTATTCACTGCAGAAATATATTACTGTTCCACTTTAAATATAAATGTCAAGCACATAGGACACCATGTATTATGATTCTGCCAGGGTATATAGTTTTCTCTGAAGCAATAGTAAGAATGCTGAGGGAAAGCAAGCACATGCAAATTTTAGTTTAAAAGAAATATGTCTGTAAACAGACAAGTTGTGATCTGTATCAGGAGAACTGATAAGCACTTTTAAAAAGGGTGCACTGCACAGTTTAATGAGTATTCATGTAAATACTGGTGTAGGTGGAATTCTTCTGTAGTTTGGACTTAGTAGCTGTAAATGTCTGTTGGTTTGTGGTGTGGAGCATATTAATTGAATGTGGTTGTGAAACACAGATGTTTACAGCTTGTAGACAGTGTCAGAATAAGTCATCATGAAATGAGCTGATACAGTTTTGATTTGGATGCTACACATTTGTATTTGTGCTCTCTATGTTAGCAGTTGCCATAATGCACTCTGTTCTGAAGCATTGTATACATACTAGTGGCATCTGTTTTCCTTATTTGATCTTCAATTATTGTCTTCTGAGTTCTTCCCTTTTCAGGGAGATCATGTTATTTCAAATTTCCTACGCTTGCCACTTTCCGAGCTCACACTGTGTAACCCAATTAAACTTGAAAAAGGTTGCTGTAAAGAAGGTCCCTCCTCTTCTCTTGCATGAGAAGAGCTGTCACCTACCAAGTAATAAAGAATTGCACTATTTTTCCATTTTTGTTGTCTTTGCCATTAGCCCTCCAGCATTCTTCAACTTCTTGAGCAGTTGTTGGCCAACAACATACCTATAGAAAGAAGAATGTTGGTCTTCCACAGAGTAGTTTGCCAGATGCCAACAGCTTGCAGTTTAAAGGATAATTCTTGAGCTACAGATGTAATGGTGCTGGCTAATAACCTGTGGAAGATTTTATTTTCTTTGAATTTGCTTGCATTTTGAATCTGTATATCGTTTTTCCAGTTTAAACATTAAAAGAAGTGCCAGTTCTCTTGACAAATTTGCTGTCTGTGTACTTATTTTCACTTTTGCTAGAAGACAGATATCCCACTGTATGAAAGGTTCCAGCTACAGCTGGTAATTTTTTTTTAAGCTTACATTGTTTTATTGGTGACAGACTGGTTTATGAAGCCAAAACTTTTTATAAAAATGGCCACTTTTAATAAACCTGTTTTCTTTGATTCTGTACAGAATTTTTGAGGGGAAGGCTGGGAAAATAAAAGAACCCTTCATTACCATTGCAGAGGAGAATTTCTGAAGTGTGGGGGAGCACTGCTGTATTAAGCAGTATCAAGCTCCAGTGAATATTGAATTCTTGACACAGAATGGAGTACTTCTGTGCAGAGGAATGAAATGAGATTGACAGTTACTGACTCTTTTAAAGCTTTGTGTTTTTAGACTCACATTTCAGTAAGACTTGCTGATAATGGGGACACTCAAAACCAGATGGTTTTGTACAGGGTTAATATCTTCACCAAAATAAATATGGACAGGATCTCTTGCACTGAAAAATATTGCTGGTGTCAAATGGATGTGGAGAACTCATGTGGAAAAATAAGCCTTATCTACCATTTGTTCCAGATTTAAGTATTCCATTTTGGGTTATGTGATTGTTCAAATCTAGATGGAGTTTACCAGACTGTGAGTTCATTATTTATTCATATCTTGCACATTAATGAACAGAATTTGAACTGGAGCATTTAATGTATGGATTTAGTACATTATGGCCCTCAGTTAGTCAGAGCATGGTGCTAATAACACCAAGGTTGTGGGTTCAATCCTATATGGGCTGTTCACTTAGGAGCTGGACTTGTTGGATCCTTGAGAGTCACTTCCAACTCAGAATATTCTGTCATCTGTGGTCTGGAAGTAAATAAGATGCACTTTGTCTGCTCTTGGCTAATGTTTGTTAGTGCGATGATTGGCACTGCTGTCTGCTTGATACTGAATAGTTAGTTGTGAGCTCATAAACAGATACTGAAGTGTGAATATATTTAATTCCTATCATTTTATCTGATCTGTTTAACATTTCAAAGCACTAGCACTGTTCTTTCCAAAGATGGTAAACTAGCAGCACATCCACAGCTTATGTCGTCTTTTATTCCCCCCATCTTAAAACTGAGGTAAATTTTCTAGCAATGTTTTTTTCTCATGCTAATGGTGAATTCTTCTTCTTTGTAGTAAAGCTGTGATGGATGTATTGGTTGATTTATGCAGCCAGTATCACTTAAATCCATCTCAACATAGTCTTGAACTAAAGTCTTCAGGAACTCAACAAGTTCTGAGTTACAAGCCAAACACTTTGATAGGAGCACTGGATGTACAGACAGTACTTCTGAAAGAGAAGATTCCCGAAGAGAAGGCAAAGCGACCTCTGCCAAGAGTCCCTGAGGTCAGTACTCTGGAGGGCTAAAATGATGCCATGAACCATCATTCCATTCCTATGATTTCAGTTCTTCCAATCTTTCCATCTTTAAATCTGATGGGAAAGACTTGGGATTGATTATAACATGCTTTACTAGCTTAACTAATAATGTTTTGCATGTAGATTAGCAGAGGCTAGTCTAGACATTTAGACAAAATGGTATGTTTTGTGTGGTTAGACAGATGGAAATCAGAAGATTAGAGCAATTGAAAATTGCAGTAATGGCTGAAATGAGAGTGGGGTTGTGTGGAAATAGTGTTTTGGTGATATTTTGTGCACCATCTTCATTGAAGATATGGGAGAAGACTGATCATTAATAAATGTATTTCACAATACAGTGAAGATTAAGAAGTAGTCATTTTCCAAATGTTGGCTGAAATTTTTTGTTATTCTGATAACTATATCTAATTATACTCTCCCACATTTCAGAGTGGGACTTGTAAACCTTTGCATTACATCTGCCTCTGACTCCTTTTCCTTCTTTGCATGTTCTTGTGAATGTCTCCTTAGTGGAAAGCAAGGTCTGAGATTTTACTCTTTCAAATACTATTTTTTGCAATGTGGAGTAAGTTCGCCTAGGAATAGTCATGACAACCTGGAAATCCCCAGTGCTTTTCTCATTGTGAGGTGGCCTATGCACTACAGAAGGGAGACTGAGAGTTTTTGTTTGTTTCTGCAGAAATCTGTGAGGCTGGTAGTGAACTACCTGAAGACACAGAAGGCTGTGGTTCGAGTTAGTCCAGAGGTGCCTCTCCACAACATCATCCCAGCTATTTGTGAGAAGTGTGAAGTCAGTCAAGAGCACATTGTTCTTCTGCGGGATGGCATAACTGGGGAAGAGCTGGAGCTTACCAAGTCCTTGGAGGAGCTAGGGATAAAGGAGCTGTATGCCTGGGACAGAAAAAAAGGTGAGCCAAGACTGAAAGCAGTCACTGCAGGGCTATATGATGTGACAACGATATTATGCACAAGTAAAAGCATATGTGCTGCCATTCTTTTGGGATCCAGTTGAAACAGCAGAGTGAATCTCAATCTGGAGAGCAGTATGGGTTTGTTCAGTGAGCTGTGCCCAGAGCAGCAGCCAGGTCAGCAATGTGCCCAGTCGTCCTTGGATGCTCTTGGGCCTTGTGCCAGGCTGGGCTGGACTCTGGCACAGTGCAGGTTGGCCTCGGGCAGGGCAAAAGGAGGAGCTTTGCTGTGTCCCAGAGCTGCTGTTGGTAGAGGTGTACATAATACAAGGGGCCACGTCCAGGCAGAGTCTGTCACGTACCTGTGCTGTGGGCTGGAGAGAAGGAAAGAAGAGACATGCCATAGTCATGGCAGCTGTGAAAGCTGAGAGGCAGAGGCAACAGACCAGGGCTTATGAGAAACAGTTCCTCCAAAGAGCACAGTTATTGACGGTTTAGTGAAGAGGAGCTAAGAGGTATTTGTATTTAAAATTTTGTTCTCATGTTTATCTATCCTCACTTTCTGTTCTCATGGAAGAAATTGTAATAGCAGCTTCTTGGAGTTGAGTTTTATCAGTCTGATTATGTATTCAAATAACAATTCTGTGATGTGCTTAAAATATACCTGCCTTAAAAATACACATTGACAAGCACTACTTCCTTTGAGGTCAGACAGTGATATTCATTAAAATTGTCTCCTGCAGTTTTTCTCAATTGCTACCACTTCCAGCATGGTAAATGTCCTTATTTCTTGTTTAGATAATGTCATTCTTGTAGGTGCTGAGCTGTAGGCTTATTTTTTATTTATAAAATTATTTATTTATGTTGACATTCTGTCTCTTCTTTCCAACTCTTTGAGAAGTGACAGTTCTACCTCTGTGCGAGTCAAATTTCAGTGAATTTAGACTTCTAAGTAAACTAAATATCTCATTTTCTTTTGAATTGCTGGGATGTTCCAAAAAGAGGCTGACAACATGTCATAACTCAATTGTATGTTTGTTGTTTTCAAGACATGTTTACTGTAATTAAGCTAACCATTTTGGAGCAACATATTGAACGTGGAGTGTTTTCAACAGGATTCATTCAGCATACTTCAGGGACAACTTAGAGAGTAATTATCATAAGCCTTCAGTAAAGTCTTTCCTTTCAAATGAAAGTGGTGGTATGTGTGCTGGTACAGTGTTGGTCCTCAAATTTGGTTGTAGCTTATACAGTCAAAACCAAGACTACTACAGGGCTGGGATTATAGCAGCAAATTATCACAGAATAATTGAGCTGAAAGAACCCACAAAGATATACACATCATAATGTGCTGCTCTCTACATCAGCTTTTTTTTTATATATATTCTATTCTTTTTTATATTCTATTCTTTTTTAACCTTTCAGTATTCCTTTCCTTTCATTATGATAAAATCCCCCTGATCCCGAGTATAATTCAATCTTTTGTGCTTTCCTCTTACCACCATGGTGTCCAACAAAAACAGTAAGTGCACATAAAATTTACAAGAATTTTTCCTTTGTTTTAGCAAATTTCTTCCTCAATGTTCTCATTTGTAATATTCAAGAGGAATAAATCCATTGCTTTCAGTAGCAATTGGTCTGTGACTTGTGCATTGAGTGGGTATCTAGCCTGTTTACTTAACAGAAAATAGGTTTTTAAACACATTCTCACTAAGAAGTAAGGTATCACAGGTGCTGAAAGCCATAGGCTGTGCTTGTAAGAGCAGATTCTTACTCAGTCTTCCTTTGCCTGAAACAGAAAACACCAAGAGCTGAAGGATTGTTAAAAGAGAAGCTCTGCTGCCACCTGCTTACTTAATTCTATTTAGCAGTTGAAGCAGCTTCATGACTGAATCAGGAATTAACACAAATGCAGCTAAACTGCTTCAGTAGCAGCTCTGCATGTGTGTTGTTGGTCAACATTTTTTTCTGCGATGCCTAGGAAAAAGGGTGCTAGGACTAATTAATGAAAATTGTGCTTTACAGGCCTATATTAGAACTTTAATGTGTTTTCTCTTATCCTTTCATTGCCTGACTTTTCCAGTTCCTCCATCAAAAACTCAGTCTGAGCCTTCTCTGAACTATAGAGGTACTGTACAATGCTGCTGAGGGGAAGCTTCACTCTGTGTTTAACTCTTTCACTTCACTCTATGTTTAATGTGGGTTTTGTAGGTAGATCTTTAAGAATGTGGAGTGCCATAGAGAAACAAGCTATTTTTATCTGTTTTGTCTTTCCAAAGTGTTGCTTACATGTCTTGTGCTTCTGCTAAGAACAAACACATTCTGTGTGTACTGTCTCTTCAGCAATAGCCATTAGAACACTAGCAAGTAACAAATTTTGGTATTTAACTGTTTTGTGGTGTGATGTGTTTCTGTAGATTCCAAGCCTGTTCAGTTTACCTCAGTCATGATTAGGTAAATTTCAGAGTTACTAACATTTCAAGGTCTCTCGGGTTTATAATTTATTTAGTAGCATAGGCAGAAAATTCTGATGTCTGTGAGATCTTCCACTGATTTCAATTTACATGCAGCAAAGCACTTTAATATCAAATGTATACATACACATTGGGTAACTGAATAGATACTGATTTCTGAATTGTTACAGTAGTTGGGGTTGGATTAGATTATATTGGTGCTTGTGCTTCCAGTCAAATAGAAAATGTGTGTATTTAGTATGCCCTTTTCCCTACTGAGTCTGTTTTAATACATTGCTTAAGTTAATTATCCTCAAGAAAGTTATGGTTGATTTCTAATGAGCTTTACTTCCTTGAATTACTAGTAGACATGACATAACCAAAGTAAAACTGGATAACTTATTTAAATTTTTATGAAGAAAGTCTACCTCCAGTAGGTGACAGTCAACGAGCAAATCTTAGCTCATGGCCTCTTGGCTTCACTAATGGCAGCACTATTCCCCCTAATCCTCTGTCATTACTTGCTGTGGCTTCCTCTTACATGGAGATAATTTCATCTCTAGATGAAACATATACTGTATTTATTTAGGAAAAATTTATACAGATTAAAAAAGACTAATTATTTTGATATTATATGCATTACTTAAATCCTAATTTATTGGGATTATACAATGTTCAATGACAGTGTTGGTGATCAGTTGCTACGTTAGCCTTTCCACAGCATTGTTTGTAGTTGAAGACTATGCAAGTAATGGAATCCTCCATATCTAGACACAGCCCGGCCCCAAGCAAGAAACCAGCATAGATGGTGCTTGGTATTTAAGAAAAGCATTAACTCATTACTGTATTTCTTTGCAGTGCAGTTGCAACCTTTCTTAAGGATAGTTTCTCCTTGTTGTCCTTTGTGTTCATTGTATATGTTTAACAGCTTCTGATGCATGGGATTGTTTATATGCAAAAGTGATCTGTGTGAAAATCACTTTGTATTTTATGCAAATAAATTTACTAGAGATGGTATGAGGTTTCTGGAATGAGGTTTTCTCAGTGAAGTTAAACTTTATTTTCTGTCAACAAGTTAGTCATTTTGAATTTGAGTTTTAAATGTTATTAAGCAAATATTTACAAGAGAATGTGGGGTTTTTTCCCCTGTGAACTAAACTTTTTGAATGTTAGTGGAATAAGCTGATGTGCTTGGAGTCAGGAGGAAAGATTCATAGCATTATGAAGAGTCCATTTTAAAAAGTGAGAGTGCTTTATCATCTGTGTATTAAATGGGCAATGCTGTTTTCTGTAATGCATGAGTGTGTCATTTTACTCATCCAGCTTGTGGATGAGAAACTGAAGCGGGAAATTGAAGGGATACTAAATAGTAGGAGAACTCATACAATTTTTTAAGCAGATTCAAGGAAGACAAAAATGAGTTCTTACAGCCTGAACTATAAACTCCACTCTTTTCCCACCTGAAGTAAAAGCACCAAGATAAGAAAGATGACCACAATTAGCTAGTTTAAGTTCTGAAGAGAGCCCTGTTTCCAAGAGGAGGGTCTTTTTCCTTCCCCTTGGAAACAGGGGGAAGAGCTTCATCCAAATTGCACATTTAGAATCTCTTGTTTAAGTTCACAGTATTAAGTCAGACCTATGCATTGTTTAAGATACCCACCAGTATATATTTTTTTAGGTTTTTGGGGTTTTTTAGTGTTATGGTACTGTAAGAGATGTAAATGATACATCCAACAAGCATTTCTGAAATCATAAGCAATTTGCTCATGTTTTGCCTTTTAATAAGGGTTACTGGATTGTGATTGAAAACCTAGTGCTCTATATTAAATTATTCCATTAGATTTTGGAATATACTCAGAACACATGAAAGTTTGATGACAAAGTGCAGGATCTGGCTGTTAATTAGATAATCCAGTCCATAACACCTTCAACTCATTAAAATCCAGCATTAATCCAGGACATTTTAAAGTACTCACCTTGTGAATCTTTATTTCAAAACTGTAACAACTATTCCATTAAAATTTTTTCAGAACCAAATCGAAAGGCTTCAGTAAGCAGTGATGCAATAGAGAAAGAAAAGACAAGGCTTTTGGGATTGTTTAATGCTGATAGAGAAAGCAGCAAGGTAAGTGTCCAGCAGTGTACTGCTCACTTTCTTTCCAGATCTGTTATGTCTGTAGGTGGTGGCATTTGTTTGGCCTGCCTTCCTTTTCCTTCCAGAGAGTAATCTGTTAACAGGGGCATAAACTATATGTGATCAGTGCAGCCTGATGGAGATATCACCTGCTTATTGAAGGTGTCAAGCATGTTGACTTATTTACTTTTTCTTTATTTTTTTTTTTAATACTGTGAGTTCAGTAGGTGTTAAAGAAGGGCAGTAGTTTCAAGCAACCTGTGTCTGCTTATTAGTAGTACTCACATTATGAATTGCATTTATGAAAGGAACAATGTAATACAGAACAATTTAATTACCACGTAGATGTGTCTTATGACCTCTTCTGTGCATGGGTGATAATCTCTTTTAAAGCATTCATACCTCTCGGAAGCTCTGTGTAGTTACCCCTTTGCCTTCTCCAAGTCTTTAAAGCTGATGAATCAGGTATACAAGAAAGAACTTCCAATAATCAACTGAAGGATCAGTGTCTGCTGGGGTACATATTAGCCATTTTAAACATTGTATTCTTGAACTGAAAAAATTAGGAAAGAAATTCTGTGTTAAATAATTCCATTGAGATGTCATTATGAAGAATATTTCATGTATCACAGGAATAAAATACAGAAGAACTTTCTGACTTAACATAGAAAAAATAGTGGGCTTTTAACTTCATATTTTTTGCATTCTTTACTAAAAATATTGGTGTTAAATGATTTTGGACATAAAGTGTTTAATGCTCTAGGATGTCAGAGGAAAAAGGGAGTTTTCTCTAGTTTAAACCCTCCAAGGCTTTTGGAGTGGAATTACAAAATGTGTATCTGATTAACTGGTAGAAAGAAACATTTGCTTGTTTATGAACTGGTGTTTTACTTATCCAGTCAGCTCAGTTACATTTGCAAAACTGTGAAGGCTTTTCAAAATCTCTCACAATTTTCTGCCTTTTTATTCATGGTTAAATTTGTGGTGCTTTTGCTAGGGAATAGAATCCTTTATGGACATTCTGAATTACTGTGCTGGAAAACCTTATTTCTGTCATAGATACTAAACTATTCTTAATATCTTCTAAGGGACACATGAGAACTATTTTATGAGATAAGAAGTTGGTCACTTTCAGAGTGTTTTTCCACTGTAAGAGAATACTTCCTGTATGGAAGGGAAAAAATTATAACTGGGGCAATAGTACTGTATCTGCTCAGAAGAATCAAGTAAACAAGGGATCTCAACCTGAGCCTCTAGAGCACGCTGTGGGGCTGTAATTCCTCTGGAAGAAACAAATGCATTACAGCATGCAGTTTCTGCATCATACTTTGTCCTCTCATTCCATTTTACTGAACTTGGCTGTGAAATCTGTGTCCTTGCAGATCTAGCTCCTGAAGCAGATCAGTTTTAACTTTTAAAGTATTAATGCTTACAATCTTAGCAAAAGTTGCTATGAAGCATCCTAATTCAATGATTACTGCAGTGGGTTTCTCACAGCTGAGTTGGAAATATGTTCAAAAATTGCAAGCTCCACTCTTTTTTCTGCTCTCTTTCTCTCACGTATTAAAGCAAAGGAGGTGATACTCTGAGTTTTTCAAAATAGAAAATTTGAAAAAATGCTAAGGGCATTGAGGGTGAATTAAATTCAAAATTGTATTTGACCTGGGAAAAAGTAGGAGCTGTACAAATAAGTATGAGAAACAGCTTCTAAATCTGAGGAAAAGTTCTAAGTTTTTCTTGCTGATAGTTCTGACAATTTAATTGATTTTTCTTGGTCATTTCGTTATTGGATACGTACTTTCAAATGGCAGTTACTCTGTAGGAAAAGCAACTAAATCAGTCATTTTGTTTAGTCGAGCAAGAAGTCGCTGTTGCCTTCGCAAACCTCTGGGAATTTAAAACGTGGTAGGTGGAAGAAACTGAAGAATAGCACAGCACACAGGAGCAAGCAAGGTATTAATTAGGCATAATATTTCTGACTTGCTGTTGTGAAAGCTTTCTAACCAAAACAGCAGTGAAACTGCTGAACAGACTGAGCAGGATGAGGGCAAATTAATAAAGTTCTTTTAGTGAAAGATTTGGTAGGTTTATGAAGGGATTAGATGATGGGATGCTTTGTGATTTCAGGGACCTGGAATCAAAACCCCAGGATGCCTAAACTCTGCTTGTTATGGGTTTTTTTACATTTTTACTCTCCCACAAGGTTTAAGTTGGTTCTATTCTTTTTGTTTGTCTGCATTATGATTTGCAGTGATGAGGTGTGTGTGTATGTGGTCATGCATAGTCTTTATATTAGAAGTATTTGATAGGAAGAATTATTCAAAGTTCTGCACAGTAGTAGGGCTGCAGACTTGCAGGCATGTGCAAGGGGAAGGCGATTTCCTTTGCAAGGGAAGAAGAGTGTTAGCCTGTGTTGCAAACTGTACTGGATCAGATGTCATTGCACGCTATGGGCCTATGCTCAGATTTCCATGCCCATGCACATGTTTTCTTTCTCAGCTGGCTCACTGAGAGCAGTAATTGTGGTATGACAATACACCAGACCTAACTTTTCTAAAAAAAACTTTCCATTATATAGAAACACTGTGACATTGAATGAAAGCAAAGTCCTATTCTCATGGCTGGTACAAATTTGTTAAAAGTATTTCTTTGGTTAACTTTGTACTGGCAGGCTTAATGCCAGATCAGGTATCATCTTGTTCTCTTCCATTCTAATTTTATGCTGGATCAGTTACCCTCTGTTCTCCTGCAGCTGGCATAAAAAACATAAAGGTGGCATGATGTCCATTTATTTTCGGTGTTAAATGTAGTTGTTTGCCTGAGGCTAAATCGAGATCAAATTGGCATGGCTAAACAATCAGTAGAGCAGAGGTGCTATACAGACAATCATGGGATCTAGGCTTAAGTAAGGTGCATGCTAGCACACAGAAGCAGTTCCTTCATGGAGAAATGGCAAGGAAGGAGCTCCCTGCTTGTTCCACTGTGTCTGTGGGTATAGCAGAGACTAGCAGTCTGGTCCCTGATATTACAGCAGTTAGTTACTCCTTATTTTTATCCTTGCCTAAGAATTTTGTCTTTGTATTCTTAAATATTTTTCCTGATTGCTTTCTTAGCTCCTTGCCACATCAAGGCATTTTGCAGACTACTTCAGAGTGTCTCAGCAATCAGGTCCAGCACTGAGGCAGTTTGTCTTGGTTCCTTGACGGGGTTTGGTATTTTGCTCTGGCATGTTTGTGCAGTTTTGTTTCCTTTGCTGCTGCTGTGTAGGACACTTGTTTGTGTTGCAGACAGAAGAGTACTTGAGGATGAACAGAGATTGTGGTGAGGAGGATGTTTTTAGTTCTACATCTACAAGTGAAGGAAGCTTGGATGTAAGTACTAACACAGCTTGTAGATGCTGTTGTATTCTTATTAGCTCCTGCAGTTTGAATTAACCAGAAACCACTGCTGTTCCTGATGCTTAGCCAAGTAGAAGTAGAAATAGCTTATGCTTTAGCAGGCTTTATTACATGAGTGCACAGTTTGCGTATCTTCATGAAATTAAACTGTAATGCATTGTCTTTAAATAAAACTTGCTAGCTTCACTATGAATAAAGTTTCATTCAGTGTTAAATTCCAAGTAGTTGTGAGGGAGAACATGGGTGTTGTGACATGCAGTGACAGTCCTGCATGATGCAAGACAATGTTTGCCTTACCAACACTATTTAAAGGGGGTTTTTCTTATCAAACCACAACTTTTCTTTTCATCCCTGTATCTGACTTCTACAGCATGGCAGCATTCTATTTGTTTCATAAGGAGCTTGGGGGTGAAGAGTAAACACTGGAAAAAAGCAGATAGGACTTTTGTTAAGTATCCCAGTAGGGTTTGGGGCACTAAAATCCTGTGAACCACATTTAGAAACATTAAGTGACTGACCGCATACCAATTTATGAGGATCCCAATAAGAAGGTATCAGATTAGGATGTGTGAATCCTAAATATTTTCTCAGATGGTTCTAGTGCTATATTAATAATAATTGTCACATCTTTTTATTACTTTATAAAATTACTTGACTTTTTGTTATCATATTTTCAAAACCTAGAGAAGACTGATGATGTGATAGAAGTTTGAAATGTAAGGTTCAGCTCTGAATCCGCCTTTCATAAACAGATTTTTGTAAAAGGACTGTGGATTTGCAAAATATAGAACTCGCTAGCCACAGAGAAGGATGACAGAATTGTGGAAAAAATGAAGGAGTAAGAGAACAAATCCCAGATGAAAAGAGTAATATGAGGGGAATCCAAAAAAAGAAATAGATAGAAAATTGATTTGCTGTGAAGTATAAAAAACACCAGGCTCTGCAAATCTGTGAAGACTTCATAATAAATTACTGAAATGGAAAAGCTGCTTGTGATACTAAAAATTTGCGCAACACTATTCAGATGGATAGATTAATAGGCCTCTGTCACTAAAGGAAAGTCCTAGAAGAGGGTGATCATGTGTAATTGAAATAGATTAAGTAAAAGGATAGAAAAAGCATCACAAGTTCTGCCAAAATAAAATAATTTTGTGGTTTGTATTCACTGCCATTATAAATTAATCTCAATATCTTGATACCCAAGTACTAGAAAAGAATGAGGAGGAAGAGTAGGAATTACAAGTAACAATATGATGGTAAAGGTGTGTGGTGCTTACCCCAGAAGAGAGACATCACCTTATTTTTCTTGGGAATTTTATAGAGAAAATTGTAAATTATTTTTTTTCCCTCCGACATTGATGAAAAAATATTTCAAAACCATCTTGAACATGCAAATGTCTTCTAAAGGTGCCAGTTCATAGGGAAGAAAGAGCTCTTGAAGAGGTAAAAGTGTTTTCTTTTTATTCAGTTAAATGAGCATGTCAGAGATTTAGCTTTTTCCCACTTTCTTCGTAAGAGGAATTAATCTTGAAGAACAATGTAGCCTTTGTTCAGTGTTTGTCTTTCACTTCTGGTTTGACACCTGTATTTGTATGAGCACCAATCCTGCTAATACATGAGCACATGAAGAAGTATGTTGACCTTGTTGCATTGAATTTGGCAGTATTCTGTTCAAGCTTGTAGAAGGTGTATTAAATAAGTCTAACAGATTCACTCAGCAGCACAGAAAGTCCATCTTTTCAGGAGGCTAGAAGGGCTTCAAGAAAAAAGTTCAGCAATTGTGCTTCCTTAGGAGAAAAATTAAAAAATGTTGCAAATTTGGTACAGATAGTTGGCATAGATAACTTCTTATTAAGATAAATTCAAATAGAAACACCAGCAAAAACACTTCATAATTTTAGAAGTTCAGCTTAGCAGTTCCTTATGGACTAGATTTGAGACTTTCAATCATTCTGAGTAATTTGTTACTCTGCTTGTTCAAAATATAGTTCATTTACTTCAGTGGAACTAAGTATCTCTGTTCCAACTAAGTGGTATCTTACATGGACATATATGCGGAATATGTATTTAGAGATCCTCATACAGAAGTTTAATTGCTGAGATAGGATTGTTGGCAGAATGTCATCCACTAGAGGATTCCTCTTTTGCAGTTACCTCTGGTCTGCTCTCTAATACTGTTTTGGGTTATCTGAAAGTATTTTGGTTTTGCTATGTGGGAACCAAAGGCAGTTTCAGGTTTATTTCTGAAGGAAAAATATCTTGCCACTACTTTTGGTACAGTAGCAGGAGTTGCATTGACTGAAACAAGAAAAGTTTTCTTGCCTATTAAGAAACAGTTAACTTGCGAAGTACTACCAAGGTAAAGGCATGAACTTTCATAAGCCTGGTTTAAATCCTTTTCTCACTATTATGTGGTGGGGGTGCACACTGAATTGTAGGAAAAAAATGTAATAATTCTGTAATGGAGTTGATTGATTTGGAGTTGGTTTGTTTCTTTGTTTAAACTGGGCAATATGAATGAATGGAATAAAAGTATATGAAATAATAGACTCTTAGGTGTTTGTTCAAGCACAAGTTGTATTCATTTTTTAACCACCATACTATTCTCAGTGGCATATCTATCTAATTATTATTGGAATTATTAATGCCTCTAAAAATACTTTGAGTTGTTGATGAAGAAGCAAATTTTCCAAGTCAAGATGGCAAAGTCAACATTTATGCTTGAGGTGAAGGGACAGTTTTTCACAGTATCAGCAAAAATAAAGGTGAAAATAATGTTAGCTTAGAGAGGGTGTAGAAATGCACAAAAGGATTCCTCCATGAAAATCCTCAAAATGCAGCAGTTCATTACACCACACACCAGTAATGGACACAAAATCCACCATGTGTTGTAAATTGTAAATGAAGCAGAAATCCTTTCCCTTAATCTGGGAAATAAATCGGTTTTGTGCTAAGCAGATCAGTTTTATATCCAGGTTAACTTTTCAGAAAACAAATGCTGGGGAAATACACAACATACAGGTAAAGCAGTTGGAAGCTGCAGAATAGTTAAGTGTATGCAGCTTTTTCTGTGCCGAAGGCAGGCTGTCAGAGCTCAACTTCAGAACAGCTGGGGAAAAAAAGGGAACTTGAGTTCTCTCTACCGCTTGGTGTCACTGTCCTCATATAAACAGTTGATCAAGATAAAACACAGTATTGGAACACAGTACTAATATTAGCCGGTTTTATTTTTGGGGCCTTCGTGTTTTCATAAATCAAGAGTGAAAAAACATGTCCCAAGTGCTGAACGATGTGTAGCTCTGATGTGGACTTTGTTTATGTAATATGTCAACTTGGGAACAAATATTTAGAAGTACAGCCAGGAACACTTATCTGAGGTTTTGAAACTTCAGCACAAAGTCTTATCACACAGGGTTTCTCTAGTTCAAACAGGGCTGCAGCAGTGCAATGTTGGAGGATCTTCATCAGCACTTCATCAGCACCATTTTAAAAATAAATAGTTTTCAGTGTATTTCAGAATGTAAGTTTTGCCCATAATAGAATCAATTATTAAATGAAGCAAATAGTCCAGTAGTTCTCTGCTTGACAAGTCTGTCATGCCATGTATGTTCATATGCAAAACTACAAGAGGAAAAGAAACATGTAATTAAAATACCAAACAATTATCAGATATTTTGAGGATATGTGTGGGGGATTTTGGGTTTGTTTTTATTTCATAAAACAAATGTACCTGAATAATTGCAAGATTGTTCTTCAGAAGAAAAGTTCTGTTCTTAGAGAATTGTTCTTCAGAAGAAATGTTCTGTTCTTAGAGAACTGTTCTCCAGAAGAAAATCATCAAGAGCTTTGGTGCATTAGTAATCCTGGAAATCACTTCTTAAGTGGTGGCAACAACTCTTTTCCATAAAAGGGTATTAAAAACATTTATGATTTACCTTTTCAGAGCCTTGTACTCTAGCTGTAACTTCTATGCCCTCTTTGATGGCAGCAGTTACACCATTCATGGTACACTTTGTCAGTTGGAACGGGTGGAAAGAAGAATCAGGTACAGTTAGGTGAATGTTACTTCTCTTCAACCATGTCAGGTCCCCGGTGATCAGCTGATATCCTTTCCTGTCAAGGATTTCATGTCACATAGGCAGGTACTGTTCAGGGCAATAGGAATGAGATTACTGCCCATGTCATCTAGGTGGAAGTTAGGTTAATAGCCGTCCACTTCTAATATTTCCTTGTGTTTGACAATCATGTTTGCTTTAAATTCCTGTTTTCATGTTCTACCTTCTTGGTCTCCTGACAACGCTTAGAGTGTGTTTGTTTCTTATTAGCGGGGACAAATCCTGGGGTAGTTACAACGCATTTTGTAGAGTTAAAGCTATTGATGCGCTGTCCAAGAGGTAGGTTGTGATCTGGCCTTAAAACAATGTTTCCTAATGTAATATTGTTTGCAAAATACAAAATTCAACAAACTGAGTATGGGAAGTTGTCTAAATGCTACAGCAGACAGGGCTGTTTGCCCCAGTCTTTCATTGAAGGGTGCCTGTAAGCTGGTAGTTAGATGCCAGAGGATGACACTAGGGAAGATACAGTTATAAATATTTTCATTTGTGCAGCTGTTGACATGATTAGAAGAAAAACAGATCTAATAAATACCTCAGCATAAGGTTCACCATCACAGTAGAGTTAGTTTTATTTTGATAGCCTGTGATACACTGTGGGGAAAAAAATCAGAAAAAATCATTACTGTTAACTTGCCTTGGTAAGACAAAAGGTTTGCCCAAGGCTTAAGCTGGCATTGAGAAAATTTCAATAGTAAAGATGCCAATGATCAACTTTATTTCTCCTTATCTACTGAGGGACAGGAAGCGATATGCTTTATATATAGCAATAGAAATTTAACTTGGATACAAGAGGGAGAAAAATTTGACTGCATGGAAATTTCACTGGGGAGCATGCTATAAAAATGACTTGAAATC